TTTATGTTAGGCCATTCCACCTGAGTGATAGTTAATCTTATACGTTTTCCGGAAGAATGTGAGTCGTTTAAATTTTGTTTTTTGATCTATCAGATTTGATCGCGTATCCAAATCTTTCCGAACCCTCTTCTCAAACGATGAGCGCCTTCTAGACTCCTAGGAGCCCGCGCGATTAATCAAAAACATCCTCGGGTCATCCGGTTAGCCGGTAACGTCATCCCCGGATGATTTATACCTCGGTTCATACCTTTTGCGCCACTGCTCACAAAATCAATTTCTCCCAGGTTCATTTCCATTATAAATCAATTCCGGTTCTTTTTCTCTCGCGATAGTCGGCCAGATCAATCTTCGCGGTCCAGGATGTTCGTTTCATTAACGACGCTTATTCGCCATTAGTGTTACAGCTGGAATACAATTGGAACCACTTATTTAGGAACAATAAAATCCCCTCTCAAATCGCCAAACAATACACTTCTTTAGAATGCCCCGATTGAATTAAATTAAGTACTTTTTCATATGATTAACAAAGAAACAAGGATTGAACTCATGTGACACAATATGTAGCAAACAACATTCAGCTATCGGATCAGAAATTGTAGTCGAAGATGAGTTTTCCAATTCAAGCAATGAACAGTCTTTGATTAAATTTGTAGGAACGCTGATTTTCCGTCCATTACACCGTTGGATTGTTGATATATTTATATGCATTCATCCACAAAATAGTGCAATTTCCTCTTGTGGTCTCCGGGGTGAGAATCCTCAAGTTTGTTTCGTCCAATAATTTTAGTTGGCATATAATATATAAACGACTGAACCGCTCAAAATAATTATTTGAATTTTGTTAATCAGTGTATATTTTTGTTGTACGGGTAATTTTATACATGATTAATAAACGAAATGTAGCTAGTGACTATTTATATACACATTCTAACCTTGAACTATTTATGGCTATCGTATTTCTTACGAGTTATATATGGTCGGTCTTATCATTCCATTAATCAAATAAAAAAGGTTTTACAAGTTTCCACTGTCTATTAGGAATATTGTAAATTAATTAGTTATTGCTAGCTAGTGAACAAATTAGTTAATTAAATTTACGAATGATTATTATGCTCTTGTCCAAAGCTTTCTTTCTCACTTTCTATCGATCTGACACTTTTTCTATCCCTCTCTCACATAAAATTGAACATTTCGATCATACATACAACATCTCACACTCTTTTCTTTACTTTTATCTATCTCACAGGAGGAGATACAGACAGATGCCATACTAGGCATGCAAATTGATGCCATTACTCCAAAGTACACCTTTACTAAAACGTACAAAATACTAAAACCAGAACGGGAAGAATGGGTTAAGGAACACCGCTAAAGGCAAACCCCTACTGGGATACTCACGGCTTCAAAACCGACAAGGGTACGGGAAATGGGTATCTGGATGAACCCTAAGCCGAGGTAAATATGCTACAGTTTTCCAGTCTGAAAGCATAGCGATTGAACAATGCGCCAGAAAAAAAGGCTAGGAATACATTCCCGGAAGATGGCCATTTTCTCTGAAAGCCAGGCAGCACTTAGGACGGAAGTCAGTGACACTAATGACCTGACCCTGGCGTGGGTCCGTAGACATTTGGGTCATAGAGGCAACGAAAAGGTTGACATATTGGCCAAAAAGGTGGCCCAGAACCCTACTGCGGCTTAGCAGCCTGCCACAAAAGAGGATACATCTTAAAATGGATACTTAATGAGTCCAAAACGAGGTGGAATAATTCCACAGGTATGAGGCACGCAAAGAGATTGTAGAAGGACCATTCACAAAACTTACAAAATAATTACTGGAAGACAACACTAACCGTACCAGGATTCTGGTTAGTCTACTGTCGGGACATTGCGTTCCCGATTACTCATCGTCAACAAGACAAGAGGATCTTTAACGTCCGCACNTACCACCCGTCGTCGCCGTGGTTCCACATAGAGTGGGTAGTACTGTCGGGACACGGCCACGTAAGAAAGCACATGCACCGCATAGGAGTACAGACAAAAGAAACACTGTGCACATACTTCCAGGAAGAGGAGGAGACCGCAGAAAACATTTTATGTTTCTGTGAAGGTTCAGGTTCTTGCAGCTAGGACAAGAAAAACCACAAGCAAGATCCTACACTAAGGGGCCGCTGGAAAAGGTGTGGAGGCTGGTTAATAACCTGAAGCTGGCAAGGGAATACAATAGTTCTATTCAGGTCGAGGTGCAGTATGCCTTGTGACCGCCACTTTTATCCCTATCCCCTATCCCCTCTATCTCACACTTTTTGTCTCACCTCACTAATCTCTTACACTCTCGCCTTTTTCTCTTTACATATTTACACGTCCTTCTTGATCTTTCTATCTTTTTCTTCCTTTTTCTTGCTTCATTTATTGAACCTCATTCTCACCATTCACTTTCACGGATTACTCGCTCGTTCTTGCTCTTTCTCTTGTTTCTTCCTCTTTATGCCTCAAATCTCCTTCCCTCTCTCACTCTCTCTCTCTCTCTCTCTCTCTCTCTCTCTCTTCCTATCTCTCATTTCCCCCTCTCTCTATTATTTGCTTTTTTTCTCGCCCCCTCACACCACGCATTCACTCCTCTCTCATATTCATCTTTCTTTTAACTCTCCCACTCTCGTTGTTGCATTTTCTTTTTTTTTCTTCCTCTTTATGTCTCTAATCTCATTCCTTCTCTCTCTGTCTTTCTTCTTCACATACAACTTATGTCTTTGTGCATCAAAACTGATAAAAATGCAGAACGAATTAGTTTTCGTAATTCGTCTTCCTAACAAATATATTTTTGCCATTATTTGCCTACCTGTACATTTACAGTCTTACGAGTACAGAGTAAACCCCAATTCGAAATTTCATATTAAAGTTTTCATGTCATCCCTCTGTTAAAAGATCTGACATTGACATCTAAAGTACATATTGTAGTCAGATGGCGGAACAGCAGGGATTTAAGGAGTGAAAGGCCAAAAAAAGGGGAGAAAGGCAAAAAGCTTATTGAAGATGTCTACCTAATCTGGAATTTTAAGGGTGAATTTTCATCGACTTATACTATCGTAATTCAGGGTAAAGTGGAGTTTTTATCACATCAAAGACCTCAATTTATACATTTTTCGAACAGTGTCTTTGTAATTTATAGTTAGCAAAGTGAATCCTTGTAAACATGGCTATGCGAGAAATGAAATGGAAATTACGTACTCTTCTAACCATATGTAAATTCAGGTGGGTTTCGCCATATCCGATCAGCCGTCGGAATCGTAACGCAGACGCACTCCTCCCTTATGACTTGTATGCACCGAGAGTGGCTAATTTAAGACATCGCACGGTCTCCGACCACGAACAATGGGATATGTGAAGGAAACATAAATAGAATAAGAGCTGCCGGCCGAGGTAGCTTTCCGGCTCAACGGTTTCTGATGGGCTGCAGGGCGACCTCCGACCTTCCTCGCAATCGGGAGCATTCCCTTTCAATATAAAATGACATCATATCGCTGTCAGAACTGACTTAGAAGGAATTAATAAAGGAGGCGTTTTAAGATAAATAAATATAAATAGATAAAAAATTATGAAACATTGCAAGTAGATAATCAAGTGGCAAAATAGACCAACCACCTTTTTTATAGTTCAGGCATAATCACTGATCGGTTTTAATATACAATTGTAATTAATATTTATTTAGAAATCGTGAGATGCGGTCTGGTGTGATGTCGGTTTCAGAAAAACATTTTCTTTATCGTGCCAACGTTTCGATCTTTATTGAGATCATCTTCACTTTTGGCACTTTCGACACGACACGCAAGAATGGCACAATTACACAGAAGACAAACACTTTGAGCCCTGAAGATGATCTCAATAAAGATCGAAACGTTGGCATCTTTATTGAGATCATCTTCAGGGCTCAAAGTGTTTGTCTTCTGGGTAATTGTGCCATTCTTGCGTGTCGTGTTGAGAGTGCCACGACCCGCAAGAATGGCACAATTACACAATAAAGATCGAAACGTTGGCACGATAAAGAAAATGTTTTTCTGAAACCGTACATCACACCAGACCGCATCTCACGATTTCTAAATAAATATCGACTAACGGTCACTAATCACCACACATTGTAATTAATCTTTATGTAAGGTATTAGTTGAAATAAAAAAGCCAGTCACGTGCGGGATTCGAACCCACGATCTTCGGCTAAATACGCCGCTGCTCTACTATTGAATTTACATCTTTTGAATTTTCCCTCCTTTCTGCCATTTTTCAAATGTCGTGTAATCAAGATTCGATTCTCGGCGGCAAATGAAATGGCCACGGAGAGCTTTAATGATGAAGATATACTTCATTTTACTTATTAAATTATTGATTTCGTGGTCCGAAGTCACGATAGCTCAAATGGTAGAGCAGTGGCGTATTTAACCGAAGGTTGTGGGTTCGAATCCCGCTTTTTGATGACAACCAATACCTTACATTAAGATTAATTGTTATTTGGCCAATCGGACCACGAGATGTAATGGATAAAATTGTAATGTTGAAGGCTGTTCTGGTTATATTAAATATAATTTATGTTTACAAAGCAGAAACAAGTGTTATAATTGGTTTTACGAGCAGTCCACTTAATTCTGAAAGGCCTTCTTATTTATTTTGTACGGTAGGATCATTAAGTTGAGTATTTTTCATCGTGTTTAAAGGGGATGTGTCGGTTCGCGGTCCTCATCACTCATGCTTCCGGTTTTGTCAATACTTAACGATCGTCGGAATAGCTCAATGATTGGATACGGTGCCATTTCGGCTAGGTAATGCTTTAATGACATGGTGTCGATTGCAGACCTGATGGTCGCTCATCCGTCATAGAGTTATAACGATCCGACGGACGGGTGAACGGACATATGGTGGATTTGCATAAATCATTCTCTTTGGGAGTGATGGTCTCGGTCTTTAGACATTTTTATCAGGTCGAACTACTGTATAGACAACAATGGACTTACCGTCTGCGTTGAACACGATCGGCCTGCAGAAGCCGCTATTTACTCGACACTGGTAGACGACGCCGCCGTTCGCAACGTTCGGCTGGTTGCTCTGGGCTTCAGGAGCTCCCACTATCACCCTGAAATAATCATGACAATGATTAGAAAAACAATTATTAATAGTAAGAAATGGTCAGACTAAATAAAAACACTCCTTTTTCTCGTTTCAAAAGAATTCAAATTTTTATAAAAATTTAAAATTTGTAATGAAAAACAGTCTGCATATATATTGTCAATTTAACTAAACTATATTTGGATTACGTTTTTTTGTATTATATATATAAAGTGGAAGGTTTATGGGCCGACAAACAGCTGAGGTCATCGCCGGCCCTCCGCGTGTATTCCTTCTCTCTCCTGTCTTTCTCGCGTATTTTGTATTGAACTGCAGCCATTTGAGCATCTCGATCTGGTTACTGACTCTCTGCTTTTACCTGTATATTACGTAGTTATTTTAAAAAGCTAGCTTCTTGTTAGTACCTCAGGTTGTCAATTTAAGAATAGATACACAACATACAATATATAACATATATATCGCCACAAACATAGAAGCCTGGTTTTTTTGTATTAATTTTAGCACTAGTTAATTATTTACAAAAACAATGAAATTTATGTTCTTTGATGTTGAGGTTTTGAACATTGGAAAATTTAAAAAAAAACGTCCCAGGTTCTCCTCTTCATATATAATACAGTGAGCATACTGATTGTATGTAGATTGCCATTAGACTCGTTTACATAATTTGTAAATCGTTTTGGTAATTGTAACATAAAAGAAAATAAAATACATGTGGAAAAATTTAATTTTAATAAGAAAAAAAGAAAAACGTCTGATCGTGGGGTGGAGAATTCAGGGTGAGTTTAACTTTTTTCCCTTATATTTTCTAATTTCGGCATTTTTGTGAAAAAACCCAAGATACCTAAACTTTTATCAAAATAATGTTTTCCTTTGTTCGTTTACTACTGTTTTTGGACTGCGACTTCTTCAGAACTTGTAGAAAAGAAGGAAGATTTGTAAACTTTTATTTTTCGTTAGATGCTCAAGAGCTAAAAAGATTTGGTCTAACTCTCCGGATGGCCGGACTAGATGCATTTCCAATGGCGAGATACTCATGAATGTGCATTTTTTTGTCTTTACAATAATCACCAGTTAATCATATCCTGTAGAGTGAAAGAAAACAAAAAATTAAGCTATAACTTGATTGTATTTACAAAAAATCAGGGTAAAAATAGTTGCTAAGGCCTAACATATGCCTAGAATACATAATATTTTTTCATACAATATAGAAATAACCCGCAGAAAGGTATTCACAGCATCATCAGGAAAATCAAGGTTTTTTAATTTTTTAACGCGATGGAAACTCACTTTCTCACAAAACTGCGAAAGAATTGACACTATATAAAGCAAAAAATCCAAACGCATTAACAAAAAAAATCACGTTAACACCCCAAGAAACTAGTTTGCAACTGGATTTTCTTTCTGCCTCTCCATACTCCAGAAACAATCGTTCATTGTTTCATTGTCTTAGATCTTGAATATTTTTTAAGATGCGGTAAATCTTGTCAAAACTGTGATTAACCTTTGGCTCTACTAATTTATAAAAGATATTAATCCTGTCTAACGTTTAATGAATAATACATAATATTTATATTTTCTCTGATTTCATCTGAAGCAAATTATATTCTTCAATCACTATTTTATTAAAAAATTATCACATTATCCATAGATTAGATGGTGTTGAATTTCGTAAGTTGTAAATATTTTTTTACTAACTTTGACATGTTCTAGCCAGATTTGCTCAGTTATTCGAGTCAGTCAATTTCAGACAATTTGCTCAATTTTTCTTTCCGGTTTTATACCCTTCTTATATTAACTCGAATCAGTTCAAGGGGCTTTCAGAAATTTTCGTTATGGACGTATCGGGTTGTCCGGNTTTGATTAAAGAACATTGCTTTAAAGTAACTAGTTTCTTTTTTTTTGTTTAATACCAAAATCCTGCATTATTTTCCGGACAACCCAATAATATAACAATGTCAATATTTGTTTCAACATTTTAATCATTTTTTTAGGATGTATTGTAAAACTCTGTAATGACTAGTCAAAAAGGAGCTTTTGGTCACAAATCTTTGAGCTATTTTTCTAAAGTTATAACTAAATTATATAATTTCATATATAAGACCATGGGATTTTTCAAATTATGCGTTCTTGATTTTTAATGAAAAATTATGTCATTGAAGACTGATATTAATTATATCATGAAACACTGAGTAGGCGTTTGTAAAATAAAAAATACACTTTTGCGGAATCCTGTTTATGATTTCAATATGGCTGAAAATGTCAGTCTTGTCATTATTTTTGTGGTAATTTCATGTTAACTGCTATATTTATGCTAAATTGTTTGACCATCAGCTTTGCCAATTCGCGTCAGTAACCCGTTGTTTAAATTATGGAAACGTACTTTTCTGACTTTTCTAATTCTGTCTTTGACTTCTTAATAGTCTACTAATATCTTTTTTGACCGAAGTGACTAATAGAGAATGGTTAACAATTCAAAGGGACGTATTCTTACTTCTTGCCTGTGGGACTGTTAAACTCCTCTACATCTATACATTGGTAGCTTCTTATTTGTGTAAACAATTTTAGAGTTGATGATGGGTTGTTGGTCTATGAGTAGGTGAACTCAATATGAATCTCGTAGGATCACTTATTGGGTCTGTCTCATTCCCAACTGTAGTTCCTCACTGAAGATGGCGCAGTACCGAAACGCGTTTGAGAAAGAACAAACTTGCGAATAAAGACAGACCCAGTAAGTGACCCTACGCCAGTTCAGCATAAACCATTTTATATTAATACTTTAAAAGATAAAAAAAATTATAATTATACTGTCTTTTAGTCTGCAATATGAAAAGAAAGAAACCGTGGAACTGTGATACTGTGAGTGTTTATCTAGGCGTAGATTTCTTCTGTTAAGAGAAAAAACTTCCAGTTCAGTCTCCTACAGAAAAAAACCACTAGCTAACTTGTAAGAAACTTGATCAACGACCTAAAATTGTCTAATGACCTTTAGCAAATGTATAGATGCATAATAGATCTATCAGGTCAAGGTGCTCTTCCATTCTTATCTGTTTCTCCAGTGTGAAATATTGGTTTAGGTTGGTTAGAGGTTTTATGCAAACCTGGAAAGAAAAAAATGCATTAGAGTGCAAACCTAAAGTTGAGATAAAAAGTCAATGGCACGAGGGGGATTCGAACCAACGATCTTCGGCTTGATACGCCGCTGCTCTACCACTTGAGCTATCGTGACCTCGATCCACTCGGACACTAACTTCCCATCTCAACCGCACTTTTTGAATTTTCCCTCCTTTTTGACATTTTTCAAATGTCGTGTAATCGGATTGGATTCTCGGCGACAAATGAAATAGCCACGGAGAGCTTTAGTAAAGTATACTTCATTTTCAAATATTAAATTCACTAATTTCGTGGCCCGCTGGACCAATTAATATATTACAATTAATTAAGGTTTTTAGTTGAGATAAAAAAGTCAATGGCACGAGCGGGATTCGAACCCACGATCTTCGGCTAGATACGCCGCTGCTCTACCACTTGAGCTATCGTGACCTCGATCCACTCGGACACTAACCTCCCATCTCAACCCCACCTTTTGAATTTTCCCTCCTGTTCGCCATTTTTCAACTAAAGCTCTCCGTGGCCATTTCATTTGTCGTCGAGAATCCAATCCGATTACACGACATTTGAAAAATGGCAAAAAGGAGGGAAAATTCAAAAGGTGGGGTTGAGATGGGAGGTTAGTGTCCGAGTGGATCGAAGTCACGATAGCTCAAGTGGTAGAGTAGCGGCGTATCAAGCCGAAGATCGTGGGTTCGATTCCCGCTCGTGCCATTGACTTTTTTATCTCAACTAAAAACCTTAATTAATTGTAATATATTAATTGGTCAAGCGGACCACGAAATTAGTGAATGTAAGTGCCACATGTAATTGGACTTTTCGGTCATAAAATATTTCAGACACAGTTTGATTTCAATAGGTTACGAATACTATTTTGTATAAATTTGAGGGTATTTGACTCTTTCTGGACGTGGAAAAAGCTTATAAAAAGCGGAAAGTGTCCCGCATTGTAGACTAGGTCTAATCCCATATCAAATGAATAAAATGATATCGATAAGACCTCGTATTGAAAGAATATTCAACTCATGGGTCTGTGTGATGACTTAAACAAGATGTTTGAATACAAACTACTAGACAAACTTTGGCAACAAAATGGAGGGGATGGGAGACCTACTAGGGCAAAGAAGATAACCTCAGAGATATGAATTTGGTACCAAAATTAAGTAATTAGAGTCCACGGGCCGGATATAAGAAATACTATTGTGCCCAGAGTTTGTGAATGTGTACACCTAAATCCTCCAATAAGACAGTTTTCTTAAAATTGAGATTCGCTCAATTCTATTTGAACAGTGAATAAAAAAGAGACATCTTCTGATAGTCAAGCAGTCATCAGAACATTGAATAATATCAGCTTGACACTTGTTCCGAATTAGTCTGTAATTAGGGTAAATATGGAAAAACAGAACCACTCTTTCCTTGGTTCCATGACATGCGGGAAAATTGGGATAAGAAGACGAGTGGGAATCCAAGGAGTTCTTGCATTAATCAGACTACCATGCAATTTTTATGACCAGAACCCCTCCACCCTTTTGCGGCATCGGGTTCTATACTATCAGAGAAAGCAGGATGAAATCGAGTAAATCCATTATTTGTGAACAATCCAAGAATCCCTTTTGGTAGATTTGAAAGGAAAGACTGAATAGGCACCTGAAAAAGATTGCCATCAACCATCACGTGTAAATGTTCTGTAAAACGCCTGAGGAAAAAAAAAAACCAAAGATCTTATTCGCGGGGAAATTCCATTCTACCATTATACCCTGTTGAATAATCAAATTTCTCGATAAATTAGGACTCACCGTTGAACTTTGAGGACAGAACAGTGGAAACAATGGTCCATAAATTACGTGATATAACAATCTGCTGTAAGTACAATCAATTACATCTCCATAAAACTAATTT